CCAAAGGGAAGCTTGCAAGCTACTGAGCAGGGTGCAAGCGAGCCAGCAGCGTATGGACCCGGCAAGATGACTTTCATTCCGATAGTTTTGCTGGATTTTTAGCAATCGTGAGGAACGGAAAACCATTCACATGAATGGTGAGTATTATAACTATACTATACTATAAATTATTTCAAAAAATACATTCAGAGGCTTATTATACTGACATTTTGGTGAAATCACTTTTAAAATAGTTTATATATATATATACACATACACATATATGGCTCTCACTGAAATACATTTCCAAATATTTTGCTTTTATGGCTCTCTTAGTCAAAAAGGTTCCCGACCCCTGGTTTAGGATTTGGGTTTATGGTTCAGGGTTAGGGGATAGGGTTAAGTTTGGGGTTAGGGTTAGGGTTAGGGTTAGGGTTAGGGTTAGGGGTTAGTGTTAGGGGTTAGGGTTGGGGTTGAGTTTAGGGTTAGGTTAGGGTTAGGTAAGGGTTAAGGTTAGGGGTTTGGGTTAAGGATTAGGGGTTAGGGGTTAGGATTAGGGATTAGCGTTCGGGGTTAGGGTTAAGTGTTAGGGGTTAGGGTTAAGGTTAGGGTTAGGGTAAGGGTAAGGGCAGGGGTCAGCAATCCAAAATGTTGAAAGAGCCATATAGGACCCTCAGCCCATCACCGACCCCCCCCCCCCCCCCAAAACAAAAACAACAACAAAAAAAAAATCTCTTTGGAGCCACAAAATAAATAACTAAATAAAGGCCTTATAACGAAGGAAACACTGTATGTATCTGTGGGAGCTATATTAGCCTACTAAGTTGGCTACAAATACACAATGAGCCTTGATGATTAAATGTTTTTTTTCCCTGCACTGCATCCTGTAGAGCAGGGGTGCCCAACCTTTTTTGACTGAAGATCTACTTTTCGATCAACCAACCTACCGCGATCGATCCGTTACCGCACACACTTACCAACGCATGCCTCCCTACCTTCGTCGAGACCTGACGCGGAGGCATGGGACACACTTTTGCAGCGTGTTCATTGTCGTAGCTCACATGTACCGTTTTAAAATGCCTCTCTCGGCCCTCTACATTGTCATTATTTGCCAGTACCCTCGTGAATTGTACATGAAATGCTGTTTTTTGTTTTTGTTTTTGTTTTTTTGCAACAGCCACCTGCCTGGCATCCCGCTCTGCTAATAGAAGCACGTGTCACATGCTATGATACAAATCTTCGTTGACAGAATTGTTGAAATTTAATATTTATTCTACACATTTATACAGCATTGGAAAACATTAAGAATGTTTGTGTCATGTTTTTCCCCCTACAGAAACCATATTAAAACAAAAAAATATATTTCCCTCCCACATCTTTTTCCATTTTTGAAAAAGCTCCAGGGAGCCACAAGACAGCGCTAAAGTGCCGCATGTGGCTCTGGAGCCGCGGGTTGCCGACCCCCGGGTTAGGAGTTAGGATTAGGGGTTAGGGGTTAGGGGTTCGAGTTAATGTTAGTCTTAGGGTTATAGTTTAGGGTTTGGGGTTAGGGTTAGGGTTTAGGGTTAGGGTATAGTGTTTGGGTTAAGGTTAAGGGGTTAGGGTTAGGATTTAGTGTTAAGGTTGGGATTGAGGTTCGGGGTTAGGGTTAGTGTTAGGGTTAGGTGGTTCAGGTTAGGATTTAGGGTTCGGTTGAGGGTTAGGGTTAGGGATTGGGATTGGTGTTGGGGTTAGGGGTTGTGTTTACCCTCTCCGCCAAACCCCTTGCGCCAAACCCTAACTCTAACCATAACCCTTAACCCTAAGCCTTACCCTTAGCCCTAAACCTTTGTAGCATGTGTAAATAAACAACCATTCACACTCACATTTGCACCTATGGGCATACAGTATTTGAGTATTCACCTTTTACCTTTAATTATCTTGGAGAATGCTCTGAAAATACCAAACATATACTGGGAAAGTGATATCATATTGATGCGGATGCAAAAGTCAGATTTGCACGAACTGTATCACAGACTACATGGATGAAGAAAAATGATTCGTGAATGAGCAGACAGTTGGGTGGAAAGCAGAGGGGGGCTTGGGTCACTGAACTGATTCCTGGAATTGGAGCAGCAATCCCAGTAATGTGGCTCTCATTTAATTAATTGAGATTTAGTAGCATTTTAGGAGGAATGGTAACACCCAATCCTGAAAGAGTTTTATTCATTGGATTTTAAGGAGGGCACACAGACCTTCAACCCAATTGATGTTCCAAATGGCTTCCTCAAACTACTCTACTTTTTTGTTGTTCACGATAGTCGCACTGTCAGACTGCCAGATAAATATAGTTCTGTGTCTTGGACCGGGTAAGACATCACACTACAATTTCGTCACGGACCAGACTCTGTCCAATCATTGCGTGCTTCCGTCAAGATTGAGTCCATTGGCGCAGATCTGTCGGAGAGGTGGGACAAGCAGGTCTCCAAGTCAACAAAGTCTAGTGGGCAGAGGCATTTTGTGCATATGTGTTGTTTTTATATTCAGAAAAAGCAAAAAAAAAAAAAAAAAAAAAAGGCGGTGCAGTTTGTCTAATTTCCAAAAAGGTAGCAAATTTTCATGATACTATGTTCGCTAATCAGCTACGAGCTTTTCAGTTTGCAAACATAGCAAAATACTTTCCAACATTCCTCTTTTGTTGAAGTCCTTTTTTAAAATACTGTACACCACATTATAATTGTGTCCAGTCTCTCATCATAAGTAGGAGTGCCCTGTCTTCCTATTGGTCAATGCCGAAGAACTGATTGAAGGACAATGCAGGACATGTCACACTCTGCGGCAAGACGAATAAAAACTCTGAGATGCCAGACGTGTGTCGTTGTGGTTGTGATGTGTCCAAGACACCTTATGCCCAATAGCTGAGGATGTCACACATTAAAACACCTCCAAATCAGCTTCAAGACACGATGTCTGTTGGCTCAAAATCAGGCTACATTTGTGTAATCTGAACCTGTCAAGCCCGTTCAGACCCCTAGACAGGCATCCTGTTCTGATGTGAACCTCTTGATGGTGATCAGACAGAGCCGGGTGTTATGTTTGTTAACACTCATGACACAACCTTTCCTTCAATGTCCTTATCATGTCTCCTGTATGACAGCATATATTTATCTCTCTCCGGCTGGGCATGGAGAGGTTTTCTGACTTCAGGACAACAGTGGCCACCGTATTCATCCTGAATATATGGCACAAAATGTTTTGTTGTGAATGAACGTTATTTTATTTTGCTTGATCTTAAGTTGTGCTTGCAACATGTAACTTCAGGCAAAAGCGCCAAAATTGAGTCTCAGCTGCTGCGGTGTCTCTCTCTGCACATCGCATTGAGAACCCTATTGAAAGCATTTCGCAGTGTTACTCATCGCAACCGCAGTGTGTAGCAGGGAGCATCGAGAACCACACTGGTCACCAATACGAGAGGCTTGGCAACGAGCTATTGTGTGTGTACAGTGTGATTCCTACTGCAACCAGGCTCGAGGAGGAGAGGATCGACCAGGCAGGTTACACGTGAATCGGCGGTGTTTTGTAGCCGTTTGTCCGGGATTCTAGGGTGTTTGCGCAGGAAACGGCGATCCGACGCCAGTGACCGGGCAGGTGATGCTTGCTCACGTAAGGCGCACGCCTGTGCTGAGGGGCGCAGGGGACGCGACTGGAGGGTGCGCTCTACTGTTGCACCGCCTCACCGGATAACAGCGATCTCATCCTGTCTGGTCTTTCCCCGGGTTCCTCTCTTTTGATAACGGATTTACCGGACAAAGAAATTTTCTTCCTCCTTTTTTCCCCCCTCTCAAGCCAGAAGTGGATCAAGGGCCTGATCTTGCGTGGAGTGTTTATCATTTATTTTGATTTCCCCCTTTAAGCGCACAAGCTGTAAGCGCACAAGCTTTTTTTTCCCACCCGGAGAGGCAATGCGCCCACCCATGCGATGCTAGCCTATTAGCTGGAGAGAGAGAGAGAGAGAGAGAGAGAGAGAGAGAGAGAGAGAGAGCGAGAGAGAGAGAGAACGGCGGGGAGGAGAGAGGGAGAGGTTTCAGTCGGGGAGTCAAGGGAAGACTAATTTACGAGTCTTGCTTTGCCTTTTAGGAAAGAGCAGAGGAGGCGGAGGGGGGTTGGCAAAGGAGAATGCAGCAGGCACATTTTTTTAAGAATGCAGGAGAAGCGGGCCGTTTCCGGTTCCTAAGCTAGTGTGCGATAGCGTGTGTGTGTGTGTGTGTGTGTGTGTGTGTGTGTGTGTGTGTGTGTGTGTGTGTGCGTGTGTGTGTGCGCGTGCGTGTGAGTGTGCCTGTGTGTGTGTGTGTGTGTGTGCGAGTGAGCGCGTGTTGATTTTTGCGCGTGTACGCGTGTGCGCGTGAGAGTGTGTGTTAGCGTGTTATTGAGTGTGTGCCTCTCATCCGAGGCCAGCAGCCGTATGGGGAAAGCGGCGGCACACACAGATGGCATGGACACTTCCACAAGGTCTGCCGCTCTGCCTCTGCCCTGCCTCCCTTGCCGGAGCTTGTTCGCAGCCGTCTCTCTCTCGCAGCTCCCTCCGCCGCCTAGCAGCACTGCACCACAGCACAGGGTGACGGTATGAGGCTTGATCCAGTGCATTTCTCCATGCTGGTCATCGGGGTCTCGTTCGCCTGTTACGCCCCGAGTCTCAACTCCCTCCAGGACCAGGCGTACCGATCAGCTGTGGTCATTGAGGGCGAGGTGCGCTCCTCCCCGGAGAACGTCTCCTCCCGCGAGCCATACAGTGTGAATGTCAAAGTGCTGGACGTGTGGCCCGTCAACAGCGGCGGCCTCGAGAGGGAGCAGCTCGTCACCGTCGGGGACTTTAGTTCCGAACCCCCTTGCACCACGGTGGAGAAGGACCACAGATATATCTTTTTCATGGACCCGACCGGGGAGCCCTACGTGTTCAAGGCGTCGTACGCCCCCGTGGACGCCACTGAGCCGGAGCTCAAGAAGGATGTGGAGAGAGTGTTGTGCGAGGACTGCGGTAAGTTCCAGGTGCACATGCACTGTGAGGGCCACTGGAACTGATGTAAAGGAAACGGGCTCGCGCGTGCACGTGTGGAGTCTATACAGTGTCTGCGCGTGCGCATGCGCGAGCCGATTGCCACTTCAATCCACCATAACCCGGTCACCTATAATCAAATGAGAAGCATGGTAGAAAATGTGCGTGCGCGCGTGTGTGCGTCCTATGGATATGTGTGTGTGCTTGAAGAAACTACCACCCAACGTCATTCTCCCTCCCTTCCATCCACTGCAGACTCCTGCTGACTGGTGATCAGTGCATTCTGACTCTTTGAGCATAGCCAGCAAGATCTGCACCATCACAGATTAGAGTGGAGCTCCTGTGTGTGTATGAGTGTGTGTCTGTGTGTGTGTGGACAGCAAGCTTGTGTTGAGGTGACCTTTGTGTCTGTTGCTGAGGATTGTTGCCAGGGGCCAGTATATCAGATGTCAAATCATGACATGTCTCACAGTTGTGACTGCGGTGACCTGCGAGTGGAGGGTTCAGATAGGCCATCCCATTCCCAGGGTATCTGAAGTAGCATTTACTGCCATAAAGTGCACTGTGGACGCACATCTGTTGCAATTTTAGCTTTTATCATTTTGAACCACACCGGATTTGGGCGACACCTTTGGATTGGATTCAACATAACAAGACATAAGTAACAGTTACATATTTTTATCTGTGTGGGGGGGGAAAAAAATTGAGAACCCTCTTTTCTGTTCCAGCATGAACACATGCTTGAACGAGTATGGTGGGGGCCAAGGATCGGTGGTTCTCCAACTTTTTACAGCAAGTAACACCACAAAGTTTCACTACACTGACCAACATTAAAATAATTAAAGAAATAGGCAAATTTTTCATGAGTAAATTGAACCCCCCCAAAAAAAGCATTATTTTGTTAGATAGTGTAACATTTTGTGCAGCTTTTATATAAACACTGCACTTAAATATGAGAAATGATGTCTGTGAAGGATTCAATAAAAATGTATGGAACAAAAAGTTACATCAAAGCTCCACCAAAATGAATGCTTGAAAAGAAACATTTCTTCAGGATAACATGCAAAACTATTGTTAAGTTAAATAAAACTGAACTGTAAATACCAAATGCATCGTTCCGAAAAAAGTTGAAACCACTGTAATATGATGCACATTTTAAACATTTAACTTAGTGATTCTTTCGCATACTACAAGAGGGAGCCCGTGTGCCACTAGCGGTACTCGTACCACACTTGAAGAATTGTTGTCTGTAATGAACCAAAATATCATCAACATACATTCCAAGGTCTTGTACAAAGTCCGGGATTGTCATAACTGCAAAAGCTAGCTACTCATTTCGATGACTGTGATTTAAACTGTGTAGCACTACATCTTCTCTCAGGTGTTCTTATACCTGAGTTGTCGTTTTCTACAAAGTATTACTTCATTTGTGATGTCATGGTCTTTTAGTATCTTTCATTGTAACCCTAAATGTAAAATATTGTGATCATTAACAAATCGGCATAATGCCTGTGCATACAAAATGGCAGTGTGAAGATCTGTTCTAAATGGCAAGCGCCTTGCGCTGACTTTTTTGTGTCGAATACACACTGTATGATTAAATAGGATTGAATTAAATCCTTGGAGGAAGTTGGAACAGGAAGGAAGTCAAACGTCTGTACAAAGAGCTCATCTAACAGCCCAGCTAACAACGTGATGTTCTATTTTTAGCCCTGTGACATGCTAAAATGATCAAGTTATTTATTTATGACACGGCTGTTGTAATCAGGCTTCAGTGTGGACCATATTTTTTGGCAGGGTTAGACACACACACATCGGCAAGTAGAAACACAATCGGAAGTGGGAGACATTCTAAAGCCCGTTGAACATTACAGATGCATTCGAGTAACCAGGAGATGTACAAATATCAAAGGCATGGACAACAAATATTTTGTCAGGCCCAAATCGACAGTGTTTTCTCTTTGACAAGGAGTGCTCACTTGTGGGGTAAGTACTCCTAATGTTTGATTAACACCATCCGTACCCCAACAGGAAAATCCACGTCTGGCTGTGTTTCGTTAGGAGGAGCTCCATGGTGATCTGCAGACACACACCCTGAGCCTAACCAATCCATGCCGCGGTCGAATACCAGCAGCCAGTCACAGCCATCCCCCCCGGAACACACTACAAATCACACCTACCAGTTTTAATCCAACTGCTTGACACTCCGTTTGTGCCTTTGGCTTTAGGAATTGATTTGTGCTTGACGAATGTGATTATGTTCATAAGACTTGGAAAGGTGCATATTGTAGTCAAACAAACAATACCCATATCCCCGTCATTTGCCTTTCCCAGTGAATTTGATGTCTTCCAAATGAAGTCAAATCCACACAATGAGCAAAGCCACTCATTTGCTTGCAAATTGGAATAATCCAATGCTGCAAATCCTTCAAGAGCACTTGTAAAAATGTCTCTCTTTTTCTTTATGACATACTAAGTACATTGTAGAAAGCGTTACAAAAACTCCCAATAAATGTTGACATTTCCATCATCTGCAGAAAAATGCGGTACAGACCACTTGCCGTGACAAATCATGAAAGCAATCCCTAGTTTTTGCAGTGTAAACATGTTGTGCATTCAATGGAATGGTATGAGTGCGCAGGTGCTCTTTTGACTTCTTTCTGCATTGGGTTTTACCAAGCACTCCATCTAACAACCAAGACAAGGTTACCTTTATGACACCATCATCCTAATTCACAACAGTGAGTTCCATGGGCTCTTCCTTGCAAACTATATGAACAAAGGTATTGGGACAGATGCCCATTTCACCAACAAGAATGGAAAATGGAAGCAATACTACTGTGCTTTCGACTCTATCTATCTATCTATCTATCTATCTATCTATCTATCTATCTATCTATCTATCTATCTATCTATCTATCTATCTATCTATCTATCTATCTATCTATCTATCTATCTATCTATCGATCAATCGAGCGATCTATCTATCGATCGACCTAGCTATCGATCTAGCTAGCTAGCTAGCTACAGTATCTAACGTCTTTTAAATGGGGTTTAAAGATAAGATCAGAAAACCTTTATTTGTCTAACAATGGAGAAATTCCCAATTCAAAACAGCAAAATTATGAAAGAGAGAAAGTAGAAGACAAAAAGTATATACATAAATATAAATATAAAATATAAAATTTAAATATAAATTTAGGCCAGGGCTATCAAGATTTCCCACACCAAACTCATCTATTCACGGGATTATTGACCTCGCTTTGTAGATTGAGGCACAGTCATGCAATTGGAGAATCAAAGAATCATACAAAATGTCTTGGTAAGAGTCAGTATTTCAGGTAGCAGGCCATCCTCTGAATGATGAATGAATTGGTCAAGTGGTCTGTCTGAATCCTTAAGTCCATGCAGTTGACTTGCAAAATCCACACCCATCGAATCTTACAGGCAGCAGCCTGACAGAAGGCTTCTCTGATCATTTTTGTTGACATTCCTTTTGAGGTACATTGACAGATTCTTCCGAAAATAGCTTATCCGATTGCCAAATATTCCTGTCACCGATTCTGTATCAAGTGCTGCTGCATACCTCCACGCTGAAGCGCTCTCTCCACTTTTCCTGCCTCTTTCTTTTTTGCTGGAGTTGGAGTGGGTTTCAACTTAAGACTGACCGGCTGTTAGTCAGGAAAATTGAGGAGTGGAATATTCAAAAGATGAGGAACAATCTGTTGCCTTGACAAGATAAACGGACGCAGTTATGAATAACATTATAAAGCTGATAATAGCCAACATTTTATCAAGAGAGAAGATCAATAGCTTTACTCTCATCCCCAAAAAATTTGCCATACCCACTGCAACAGGGCAGATGTGACTTCTTGTTAATGCTTGGGGAAATTCTTGCCTGCTCTTCATCAGCAAACTGCGCTAGTTGTCTGATGTTTGAAGAGTGCTTTTTCCAGATGACGTTCAGAACCTTCCACAGATTTTCAAAAGGATTTAGATCAGGGCTGAGAGGAGGCCACTTCAGAATCGCCCAATGTCTTGCTCTCAGCCATTCTTGGGTGGTTTTAGCTGTGTTTAGGTCATTATCCTGTTTCAAGACCCATGACCTGTGACTGAGACCAAGCTCTTTGAAACTGGACACATTTCTGTCTAGAATACATGATAGTCTTGAGATTTCATTGTGTCCTGCACAGATTCAAGATACCCACGGTCATATATAGCAAAGCAACCACAGAACAGTGGTGTCCTCCTTGGTCATCTCCCATGCAGTACACTTTGGCTCAAACAACGCATGGTGCGATCTTACACTGATATATCTTTACCTTGGATTTCACCTTTAATTTCTTTGGAGGTTGTTCTGGGATCTTTTGTTATGATTTGTACTATCCATCGCTTCAATTTCTCATCAATTTTTCTCCTGCTGGCATGAAGAGGGAGGTTGGCTACTGTCGCGTGGATCTTACATCAGAATCAGAACCAGACTCATCTTTGTTGGCCAAGTGTGTAGAACACACAAGGACTTTGTCTCCGGTAGTACAGGCTACACTAGTATCAACATAAACTAGGACATGACAAATTAGTATGGAAGGACATTCTGTAATGTAAGGGTACCGTTGTGCGGTGGTACCACCCAATGACAGCTGTGAGACAATGTGCAAAGTATCAAGCAGAGCTAAAGTGATCAATGGTAGAATACAATACTATAACAGTTGTGCAGTTGGTGCAGGAATTCATTGCACCATTTTAAAGTGACCAGAAGCAGTATTTGTAGTACAAGTGCGCAATTGTGCATATGTCCTTGTATTGTCCCGAGTATTATCCTTGTTTTTGTCATTTTCGTTACTCGCTCCCTAGTATTACATTTCTGAATAATATGCGCAACTTCAGTCAGGGGAACATCAAGCTGCTTAGAAATGGTTTTTATAGCTTTTACCTTTATTCTGATCTCTAATTTTATTTTTAATCTAAGACAAATCTCTCTT